TTTCTCCCACAATCAAATCTAGAAGTGAAATATTGAGATCTATATATTCTCTATTGTTAAAAAAAAGGGGAAGCTACTGAGTATTTCCCAAGCATCCCCTTCTTCCCTGCATTAGCAAATGGGAAAAGAAGCCAATGTTGATTGTACTTACTATGTACCAGGCACTATGCTGTGTGCATTAAGTACATTATTCTGGTTACTGGAGTGGAAGGGGGTGGGAGAGATGGGGTGGCTGGGTGATGGACACTGGGGAGGGTATGTGCTATGGTGAGTGCTGTGAATTATGTAAGACTGATGATTCACTGACCTGTACACCTGAAACAAATAATACATCATATGTTAATAAAAATTAAAAACAAACAAAACAAAACAAAAAAATAAGTACGTTATTCTCATGAACAACACCCACTCCTCCTCAAGCGTCACTTCTTCTGTGTACACTTTCCTTGACATCCTCTTTTATCAGAGTTGACCCCCTCCCTATTTTGTGCTCTCACTTGCCCCCCCTAACGTTGCCTCTTTGAAGCTATGTTGCGTATATTGGTGTCCATTTCTGCCCGTTCTCTAGACCTGCCTGTCCAAAATGGAAGCCGCTAGTCACAAGTGCTACTGAGCATTTGCAATGTGTCCAGTCCAAATTGAGATGTCCTGTATTAAAATACACACCAGACTTTGAAGTCTTAGTATGAAAAATGGAGTGTAAAATGTCTCATTAATAATCTTTATATTGACTGTATGTTGAAATGATAACATTCTGTATATTAAGCTAAATAAAATATTAAAATTAAATTTCTTTTTTTACTTTTTAAATTTGACTATTAGAAAACTTAACTTTGTATGTGGCTCATATTCATATCTTTACTGGATACCACAGTTTTAGACTGTGAATTTCTAATTCTTTTTTTTTTTTTTTTGACTGAATTTCTTGAGGAAAGGTCTGTGTCTTATTTTCTTTCTATTTCTAGGACCCGAAACAGGGTCCTACACCCAGTAAATGTCCATTAATAATATCTGTTGAACAAACGTATGTCTTTGTTTAACATAGAGTCCCAGATCTTCTGGCCCCAGTGATAAGACCTGAAATTTGGCAGGAAGACCCTAGTGAAAGAACTCATCACAGTGAAGGTTGGGTGAGGGGAGGCATTTTGGCTGTCTCTGTGCAGAAGCCATATTCTTCAAGTCAAGAGACCAATTAACATAACAAAAAGCAAAACAAGGGGCGCCTGGGTGGCTCAGTCGGTGAAACGTCTGCCTTCGGCTCAGGTCATGGTCCCAGGTCCTGGGATCAAGCCCTGCATCGCATTGGGCTCCCTGCTCAGGGGAGTGGGGCGTCTGCTTCTCCCTCTGCCCCTCCCCCCAGCTCAGGCTCTCTCTCACTCGCTTGCTCGCTCTCATAAATAATTAAAATATTTTTTTAAAAAAAGCAAAACTGAAAGGGTGGTGTGAGCTAATGGGATAGCTGGAGTGGGGAAGTAGTTAGTAAGCCTGGCATATGGTTAGTAGAAAGCTTCAACAGCTTCCCCATTTGACTTCCGAAGAAAGAGCCGAATCCCTGGAAGAGTTACAGTAAGAGCTCTGGGAACTTAACTTCCAAATCCCCTCACTGCTCCTCTATATCCTAATGGCTTTTTGTGGCTGTTCATCCAAGGGCATTGTCGGGCCACAAGGGGAAGGTCAAGAGCATCAGGGAATCCACACACTTGTCAGAAGTAGCCCTCTACCAATGATGCCTGGGAATTGATGGATAGATAGGACAATTTCCTCACCTTTCAAATGAGACACTCTGGGGCCTGTTTACCTCTCCCACAGTGGTAACTTGCTCATCAACATCCCCTGAACTGGCTTCTTCCCTTTCGTGTTTTATATTCCTCTTTCCTCAGCTGTGCTTCTTGGGATCACCTCCCAACACTGCTGATAGTCAAGTCCTTGCTCTGACCCTTTAACGTCTGATTCCAGAGGATGCAAATGAGGGCAGGGGGGAATCGAGATACTTGATGTCTCACTGGGACCATATTGAGGCTCATCTCATATCCCTCTTTGCATTGAACCCCACATGTACTCTTGATAATCACCTCCATGCCCAAACTTTCACGCCACACCACCACCGCACATCCTTGTTCCTTTCCACAGAAATCCAGGACCCTCGACTTGGTGTTCAAAGACCTCCACACCTGGTACCGACTCCCCATCATGCCTCTCTCCTGTTCCACTCCATCCCCATGTGTGTGTTTCAGCTACACTGTTCTACTCTCCACTCATCATTATGCCCTTCAGACGTTCCCACCTCCTTGCTTCTACACAAACATTTCCTTCCCTATGCCCCAAATGGCTTTTGAAAGGTTTACCTCCATTACCACCCAAACATCATTCACACTGCTGAAAAGAATTTTGTTTCCAACTGCTGGACCTCTTCCCCATTCTCAGAGTTGTAAGTGAAGATGTGGATTTTAGTTTCGATTCCAGTTGCTGGACTGTGTTTAAATGTGACAGTGTACCAACACTGGCTAAGTAAGACCATGAGGTTTATATGGAGTACATGAACATTAAATTAGAATATTGTAAGAAAATCCTTTGTGCAGGCACTTTGAAAGAATTTCACTGACAACGTGAGTAATATTTCTACCTTGCAAATTCAGATTTATGTATGTGGCATTTTATTGACATGGGGCTTAGTTCTATTTTTTTGGCTTCCTGCTGAGAATATGGTAAACACAATAAAGCCTCCCTAATCATTTAATTCCTCTTTTCATGAAATTTTAGCCTTGGGGATTTACTTTTTTGTATCTCTTTGATAACCTTGAGGATATTAGATCATCAAAATGAAAATGGTTGAGATGTGTGAGGGTTTTTTTTTTTTTTTTGAGAGAGAGAGATGTGTGAGTTTTAAAATCAGTACCTCACTGAACCCTGGGATGGAGGGCCAGAAAAAAAAAATGCTTCTTGATATGCATATTATTTGCTACAAAACAGAACAAATTTACAAACATATCCTTGAAATCAGAGGAAACAGAATACTTGAAGAGTTTCTAGAGAACAAGGGATGGTAATTTGAAATGCATCATATTTCACCCTAGTTAAGCCAAGAAGCGTGATAGGGTGATTAAGAGCATGGGTTCTAGCTTGGCTCGAAATCCTGGCCCCATCACTTACTAGCGATGTGATCTTGGGCAAGTGCAGAACCTTAATCTTCAGTCTTGTCACCTATAAAATGGGTGTAATGATAAACCCTACCTCTCAGGGCTATTGGGAGGGTAGGCAAATTAATATGTATGTTATTTAACTTTAGTTTATATAGAGAGATACAGTTCTCTTAACAGCATATTGTAGGTACCTCATAAGCGCGATTATAATTATTGTCATTATATGATGTCTTCAATAGTTACTTTATTTAGTGGTTATACTTTCTTGCTTGAGGGAACTTGAATGTTTTTTTTTAAAGGCTTGTCTCATCGTGCCTCCTATTTTCTCTACACAGTCTTTAGTTTCTCATTTGAAAATTCTTCTGTCACGTATTTTTTTTTCCTTTTTGAGTCACCCACTTCTTGCATTTTAATAGTGGGGCTGCTTTTCCAACAACTGTTTATGTGGAGTCACCAATATGCCAGGCAAGGTTATGCTATGCTGAATACTTTATTTATATATTTTATGTAAACATAATTTGCTTTGTAGGCACAATGTAACAAAAGCTCTAAAGCCACAAATACGTTAGACAGTGTTTCAGTTCACTCCAATCAAGTTTAAGTGACAGAGAAGCCTTCACAGTTCCTTTAAGGCAAACTGAGACTTTCCTTATACTTCCTTCAGAAAACCAGTCACGTGACAGGAAGAAGGTGCTTAAAACGAGAGTGCATTAAATGGCTAATTTTGGCATTTTCTTTTCTTCTGTTCTTCATGGCATAACTGGACCTTGATAGTCAAACTCTAGTTTTCTCTTCTCACCCTGTATTCTGGAGTGACAAAAGGGTTTTCTTTAACCAACTGCCATTATATATGATGACTGTATTAATTTTGCTAGTTGAAAAACAGATTTGGGGAAGCATGATTTCTTTTAACGCCTCTCCTCTGGACAAGAACAAAGGCCATTTGGATTCTGCACCTAGAGCTCCCACTTCCCTCGCAGAGGACAGCCCTGATTTGGCCAATGGCTCTTTGTTACCCCAGCCCTAGAAAATGCCATTTCTGTCCAGCTCACCAGGAATGTCACTTGGGTAGTGGTTCTTCTTAAAACCTCATTGTCAGCTTGGTTATGGGAGAAATATGACCAAGAATACAGCATTTTAGTGCAAGTATTGGGTGGGGGGGGGTGTGTGAAAACCCTCCACATTATCTTTCTAAATGGCCCAGAAATGAAATATTGGTGAGTCCTGGGGTATGAAGAGAAGATGATGTGTGTCTTCTTCTGAGATACTCCCATCTCTGCTCATCAGATGGAAGCACCCTTTCTTGTCCCCATATTTTACATGTACATTCACAATGAGGAGAAACTCCCTTCAGATAAATATTTGGCATAAATGTCACCATCACAAGCTTAGTGCAGGAAAAAAGAACATGATTAATGAGGTGATTGTTCTTATAAAAGGACTTTGGAAATAAAAAGGTAATTGCTGGAATGCATTCCTTCCCATCATTTGGGGAAAGAGTTGGGTCTACCCTGAGGCTCACTGGTGGAGAGATGGGGCAATCAGGGAGCCCTCCAAGGTGTTCCAGAAGGCAAAGTGACTTGGGGTGCTAATCATGTGGGCTCCTTGTGTCTCCAGCTCTGTTTGTGAGTGAAGGAATCACCATTTGAGCCAAAAGGAGTGGGAGGAGGGAATAAGGAGCCCCCCTGTGGAGACACTGAGCCTCTCTCTCATCCTTCAGGGGAACTGTTCACCTCGAGACATATCAAGTATGGTGGGTGGGGTGTGGGGTGTCTTAAGAGTGTAGGAGCTGGAAAATTAGACAATGGTGTATAATCAAGTAGTTTGGTCCCTGGTTTCCAAAAAGCAGGGGCTTGCGAAGAGTCTGCACCATAATTTTGTATTTTAGAGGAGAGGAACTGCACATTTGGCATCAGATACTGAACATCAACCGTTTTTATCGCTAGAGTTTGTTACATGTCAGAACATGCTTTGGCAAGAAAAGAGATACTCATTGATTTTTTTTTTTCCCTAATATGGTCTACCAGGGAGGTCTTCCTTGGGGGGATCCTTGGTAAAGGTAGCTGCTCACTACCTGGAAATGAAAAGAGCAAAATCGGTAATGCCCATGGCAAGCGTGCAAACATAGGCAAATCTCAGTAATGACTTCTGAAATAGTCCCACACGTGATGAGTTTTCTTAGAATTAAAAGAAAATATATATGGCGGGCGGCCGGGGTGGGATTTTGCTCGTGAGACTTGGTTTCAGAGGGGAAATCTCTGTGGCTGATGCTCAAACTCATGCTGTTGACCCATCTTCTATCCTGAAAACTCCTGTATTGATGGTTAAGAACCAGTGAAGGGATCAAGCATCAGAGGCTGATGCTAGAGGAGAATGGTTCAACCTTTTGACCAATAAACAACTGAATGGATGTAAGGAAGGTGCCTCTCAAATGGGGAGAGGGAAAGTACTATTTGGAGAGATCCTAAACGTATGGGCTCATAAAAGCACCTCCCGGCCTACCCTCCTTCTGCCAGCCACACTGGCAAGTGCTCTTGTCAGAATCACGGGTGGCTGGCAGCAAAAAGTGTCATTGGCCCGAAGAATTCTAGGATCTGGACAGTACTTTTATGATAACACCTTTCAACCCAAACTTGTCTCTGCCCATGTCTGGTCTCATAGGCTTTGGGCTCTGGGCTTGTATTAATTTGCAAGGCTGTTCTAGAACTGTCAAGAAGGACCCAAAGACGGATGGTTTTGAAGTAGGAGAGGGGGGAGAGTGTGATACACAGATGAGGGAGGGACATAATACTGCATGGAATGGGCTTGGCACTTAATTTCAAAAACAACAGTGATCAACAGCTTTTAGCTCAGCTGACTGCAGACAAACACAACACACAGTGGACTACAGCATTTGTTCACTGGGGTACAGAAGAGCTTTCTCGACCGGCTCGTCTTGTTCCAGACCATCCTTCACATCCTGCTGCCTGGGTCCTGCGTTACTGGATAAAGGGCATCCGCTCCTTGTTCTCGCTGTCTCCCTCGTGGTCCTCCTCCTCCTCCCCCGCCTCGCTGGTCTCTGTGCTGTCGTTGGCCATCTGCAGTTCAACAGAGGACGTTTTAGAGGGTCTGCGGTCTGTCTCTCACCTTCTTCAAGCATCTGAGGAAGCCCCCTTGGGAAGGACTTCTTTGAGGGCTAAGAGTTAGGGTTGCTTTCTTCCCAGGAAGGCATTGTGGTGCTGGCCGTCTTATGTTGGGTGTCCTAAGAAGCAGACTCTGAGATAAGGATTTGAGTGCAAATATTTGGAAGCTGGGAGATGATGCCAGGAAGCCCGGGTAGGGAGGGAGGACACGAGGCAGGAAGGGCCAGGAAGTCAGTACAGTGTGTGCTAATAAGTAGGCTCCTACTGTGGGCAGCTGGGGCTCAGTCATGCCGGGGACCACTGGGAGCCAGTGAGGGACACCCCTCACAGTTGTCCCACATGAGGAGGTAAGAAGCCAAGGAGTGGCTACTCTGGCATCTCTGGCAGTTATGTACATACTGGCCAAACATGCCCCTGTGGCTGGGGGCTCTCAGACAGAGGGGTCAGGTACTGGGGGACATGGGGGCACTCAGAGCATCCACTGCACAGACTGGCCAGGGTTCAAATCTTGGTGCTGTCACTTCCTAAGAGCCAGAACAATAAGGCTAACACACATGCATTTGCCTGCCTTGTTGTCTACATCCCCCCCGTTGGAATGTCATTTCTGTGAAGACGTGGATTTTGGCTCTAGCCAAAGCCTCATAAGAGCCCTCCTGAGATTCAGGAACAAGGGCCATAGCATACGCCAAGGCAGGCCCTGAGCTGTTATACTCAGAATTGGGCTTTTCAGCTCCTGCTCTGATGAGAATCCCCCGTGGTCAAACAGGCCTTCCTCAAGCCTGAGGGCCCAGCGGGACCTCATGTGTTATGGAGACAGGCGGGAAGCTGATGCTGGCTATCCTACTTAAAAGGAACAAACTGTCCAGGATGGCTCTAGATCTCCTCTACTGATAAGGTACAATAGATCTGGTCATGTGTTTTAAGAACAACATAGGTGTACAGAAGACCTGGGACCCAGCCCCCTTCTCCTCGCTTGTCTCAACCCCTCATCTGCCTTCAAACATTTGCTGGTAGAGTCCTGGGACTTAGTAAGCACTTAATAGACAAAGTCCCGATTGTAATCAGTCACTTGCATTTTGTAAAATGCCCTCTCATGAAGTCATCCTTCATTGAGTGAAATGACTGCCATTCCCACACTACATTATGGTTACAAAAGCCAAGGAAACACTTGAAAAAAACCACACACACACAGAGTAAAACATGCAAAGATTTTAGTTCTTTCTCTTTTACAAATGCCTGTTGCAGGTTTAAGGCTAAACAGGTGAGAAAGCAAACAAACAAAAAACCCTTCCTAAGTATTTTCTTTGTGAAACCTTTCCTAGAATTTAGGATGGACGAGCCAATGCTTTATGTGTCTCATCATCTCTCCCCTGACTTGAGAGAACTGATCAGTCTCCAGTTTGCAGGCAGGGATACTGAGGACGGAGCGGCAGAATAATCGCCCAGGGTGACACACAGGACATCAGAGCCAGGCTTCGAATCCACGCAGCCTGATGGCGCTCTGTGTGCCACACTACATTGCCTGCTCCCCCACCCCGGACCAGTGGCCCTTGCAAGAGTGTGACATGCTTCACTCCCGGTGGGATCCCTGGATGTAAGAGTATCGTCGCGACAAAAGGAAACAAAAGCAATGCAATCATCAGCAGGCATCTCAGAAGCAAGTAGCCTCCGTCTGTTGAATATGTGAATGTGAGTTTGATTTTACCAGGAATTCCTCCCACTTGTGGCAGCCAAGAGACAGCACTTGTCATAGACACAGGTCGATTATTCCTGTCCTTTCCTGACTGCCCTCGGATTGCTCTTGAAATGTTCTCACTGAAGTATCTTCCTTTCCCTTTTAGCCTGCATCCCAGTTTTGTGACTAATCGCTCATTTGCACCATCATTTGATTACGCGGGTCTGCTGTGCGAGCCAGAACTGCTTGTATTTCCCCCTACCCGACCTGTGCCCACACCTGATAGACCCTCTTGTGTTCAACTGAAGGGACCCTCTGCTTTTGACTCACCAGTGGAGTCGGGGTCTTCTCTACATCCAGAATTAATTTGCCGATGTTCCCCCGGTCGTGGATCCGCTGCATGGCCTCCTTCACCTGAAAGGAGAAAAAGGAAGCGCTGGTTGGGTGAGGAGTCGCCCAGGTGGAAAAGCCAAACCACTCGCCGCCCACCTGGGGGCACTGTGGTTCAAGGTTAGCCGCTAAGCCAGCGATGGTTTGGGACCCGGGGGCAAATAAATTCTGGTTGTGTCACTCACGCACTCCGAGCTTGTGCAAGCAACTTGGCCTTCTGGGTCTAAGAAATGAAAGTGATAGTTCCGGAAATAAGAAATTTTCTTAAAAAACAAAAGTCGGGGATGGGGTGGGGTGGGGAGGAGAGTACTGTGAAGTTCTAAGAGACACAGGGCGCATCAGCCAGTGTAAATTTTGACCAGTAAAATTATTTCTTTTCAGAGTCAGTTGTGCCCTGCTTACCAAAATGGTACATAACTGATTCATAGTTTAATTAAAATGACCCGTTGCCTAGGCTAAACTATATTCAGGAAAATTCCCTTCGGTGACTCCTGGTTTTTGGGTGGAAATTTTGTTTCCACCTAAGTAGAAATTTCTCCAGAACTAGTATTCTCCCCAGAGAAGAAGACCGAGTTTTCCTTCAAATGATGGGGGCTTGCCAAATCAAGCCCCTCTAAAAAAGCAAGCGTGTGCCCTCCTCTGATTTATGCTTGAGCATTTCATTCTGTGGCTGTGCGGAGAATGAACTGTAGGGGGCGCTGTGAGGAGAAAAATGAGATAAGGAAAGGGTAACACTACCCGACACTTGGCATGAATAGGTCCTCCACATCTCAGGGAAATCTAAATGGAAATACAACATCTCTTAATTAAAAAAAAAAAAAAGTTGTAACAGATCTAGTCTAAATATTTTTCCTAAAGTCTCAGATTTTAAAATGTTTTTGTTCACTCATTTGTTCCACAAAATATTCATTAAATGTCCTTACAGGCTAGGTGCCATGGTTTTTTTGTTTTGTTGTTGTTGTTGTTGTTGTTTTGTTTAAATAAGGTAGGATGTCTGTCTTGGAGGAACTCAATCTGGGGCTGATGGAGTAATGTTTGCTTAAAAAACCAAAGCTGTCTTCTCATTTGGATAGAAACTTGACAGAGCCATTAAAATGTGCATACTCTGCTTTTCTGGGACTTATCCTAAAGACATAATTCAAATTGTGGGGGAAAAAACTTACCATACAAAAGATACTCAATCACAGCATTGCTAAAACACTGAAGCAAGTTATATATCACAGAATAAGGGAATGGTTAAGTAAACCATGGCTCTTACATTTATCTATGGAATAGAAATATTATGTTGCGATTAAGCTGCTAATTATAAAGAATGTACAGCAGGATTAAAAGCCTTTATAATATTGCTAACTGAGAAAACTGAGATGCATATTTTTATTTACATCCCCATAAAAACATGGACATCCTAAAATAACTAGAAAGGGATTTGGATATATGATAAAACATTAGGTAGGGGAAATTAGTGCCTTTTAACTCCAAACATTGCCATTTGGTCATCAAATTCAAATCAGCATTTAATATAAGTTTAAATGCATCTTTAAATGTAGTCTTTGGGAAACCTAGCATTAGTTAGCATCAGCCTCTTTTATAGACTGATAGTGTCATATGATTGTTAAATTTCCTGACCCTAATACATATGCCAGTATATTTCTTTTATTTCTGTGGTGAACATTGCTTTTCAAAATGCTGTCATGTCTGGTTATTACAACTATTTACTGAGAATGTTAAAGATCATGGCAGACAGCTTCCAAAATGGCTCCCAACAGTCCTTTCCTCCTGACACTTACACCCATGTATAATCCCCTTCCCTTGAATGAGGGCTGGACCTCCTAACTTGCTTCTGACCAGCAGAATATAGCGAAAGTGATGGGATGTCACCTCCAAGATTAGGTTATAAAAGACGGATTTCTGTCTGGTAGTCTCTCTCTTTCTCTGACTCTTCTTGTCTATTTCCTCAGATGACACAAACTGCCATGTTGTGCGCTGCCCTGTGGAGAGCCCACATGGCAAGGAACTGAGGGAGACCTCCCACCAACAGCCAGTAAGGAAGCAATACCCTCAGTCCAAAAGCCCATGAGGAACTAGATTCTTCCAGCAATCAATGGGGGAGCTCAGAAGCAGATCCTTCCCCAGTTAAGTCTAGAAATGAGACTGTATCCCTAGCTGACACCTTGATTGAAGCCTTGGGAGATCCTAAGCCAAAGGACCCAGCTAAACCATGCCCAGATTCCTCACCCACATAAAGTGTGATCATAAGTGTTGTTTTAAGCCTCTAAGTTTTGGGGGTAATTTGTTATGCAGCAATAAATAAGCAACCTTCTTATCTTTCCTCCGTAATTCTTACCTTGCAAGATCTATATTATACCCCTTTTACAGGTAAGTACCTTGATGCTCAACGATATATAAGCAATTTGTCCAAAGATTATGTGGCTATCAGTGACAGAATCGTGGCTCAAATTCATGTTTGTCAGACTTCAAAACCCATGCTTTTTCCCAATTCCACCCAGACTGTGTTTAATTTAATTCTCAAAGGCAGAGGAAGGTGGTAGGTAATGTCTCACATAATGACTTCCCAGAATTCAGTTGTTTATTACCCTGGCAAGTCATTAAGCACCTGGTAACTCCTTGGAGATTCAGAACAATTTTTGTGCTGCTTCTCCAATAAGACAGAGCCCAGGGAAACTGAAAAGCGTTTTCCTACCAGTTAAAGCTTATTGTGATACCAGAAAAAAGCCCCCCGAACGGCTGGCTCTAATCTGCATATTTTGGGGACTTTCTTTTTCTTTCTTTCTTCCTTTCTTTCTTTCTTTCAAGATTTTATTTATTTGAGAGAGAGAGAGCGCGTGCACAGAAGTGGGAGGGGCAGAGGGAGAGAGAGAATCTCAAGCCGACTCTGAGCTTGGAGCCCAACATGGGCCTCACTCCCAGGACCCTGAGATCATGACCTGAGCTGAAACCAAGAGTCAGACGCTTAACCGACTGGGCCACCCAGGCACCCCTGTGAAATGAACTGACCCCTTGAAGCTCCTTATGTGGGGGATAGAGAAAGGGTTAGGAGTCTTTCCAAGAGGTGACTGAAGTAGTCTGATCCCCAGCCATGCTGTTTGAGTTTACATCTTCTAATGCTGCTCCTGGAGATGTGAAAGAGTCCTTTTGATGACAGCTTAGAAGGAAAGAATTACCTTTTTTTTTTTTTTTTTTTTCTTTTTTTAGCAATTCTTTACATGTACAGTATGAAGGCATTGCTTAATGTATGAGGTATATACATTGCTTTTTATCTGCACACCGCGGGTTCACAGAGGAGAAACCTAAAGGTGAAAATCGAAGGACTCTGTCCCCGGTCACCATGTGAAAGGTGGGTAGAACCACTTGGAAGCTAAGAGAGCGGGTTCCCCTTTTCAGGACTCTAGACAAAAGCCAGGACAGGGCTCTGCCATGTACTCCAAAACTGCCCTCAAATAACCCCATCGTAAGGTAGAGTCTGCAGAAAGAGACCTTGTTCCCAATTTACTCGTTTATAAACGGAGGTACCTCAGTAGGTGAGAGTGCCCAAAAGGTGGTGGTGAGAACCTCCAAAAAAGCTACTTGTTCTCTTTTGGGGCTAGCATTTTTCTAAGATACAATTGCGCTTAAAACCTTTTCCCATCATGGGCGCCTGGGTGGCTGAGTTGTTAAGCGTCTGCCTTCGGCTCAGGTCATGATCCCAGGATCCTGGGATCGAGCCCCGCATCGGGCTCCCTGCTTGGCAGGAAGCCTGCTTCTCCCTCTCCCACTCCCCCTGCTTGTGTTCCCTCTCTCGCTGTATCTCTCTCTGTCAAACAAATAAATAAAATCTTTAAAAAAAAAAACCACAAAAATAAAACCTTTTCCCATAGCACTCTAGAAAAGCCTGGCAGACCTGCACTGCCTCGTGCAGGAGCCACGAGTCACACGGGGCACTGAGCCCTTGAACAGACTTCAATGTGCTGCAAGTGTAAACCACCTGGCCGACTGCAAAGGCTTAATAAGACAGAATATATACCGTCTCATTCAGAATTGTTGACATCTATTGCACGTTGTGAGGATAACACGTTAAATATTCTAGGTTAAGTTAAACATATTACTAAAGTGAATTTTGTCCACGTTTTACTTTTCTGATTGTGGCTACGACAAAACTGGAAACTTTGAGCGTGGCTCATGTTAGACTTCTGCTGGACAGCACTGGACTTGATCTTCAGGAGCTGACATTGGTCAGCTTTCTGGCTTCTGGCTTCACTACTTTCTTTACACTTCCTCTGCTCTGGCCACTGGAGACTTATCTGAAGCTCACTGGGCTTCTCAGCTTTATGCCTCTGTATAGATCAGGTTCCTTCCCAGAGTGCGAAGTATGCTGGTCCTAGAGCTAACTCACATTTGTCCTGCGGCTGGTTTAGATGTGGACCCTTCTAGGAAGCTGCTCTGCACCTCCCACCCCTGCCCCTTGCACTTGGGGCCAAGTCTCCTTTGGGCTCCCTTGGCACCTTGGGCTAGCTAGTAATGTCACACTTACCCCCAGCTTGGAACTTAGCTGCTCTTCTCTACAGTACAACTCTCTGGACCGGCGCCGTGCAGTAGAAATAGGAAGTGAGCTACAGATGTCCTAAAATTTCTCTAGTTACTCCCATTAACAAATGTAGACGGGAACTGGTGAAATTAATTTTCATAATATATTTTCTTTAACCAGATCTATCCAAAATATTATCACTTCAATATATACTCAACACAATAAAGTCTTAATGAGATATTTTATATTCCTTTTTTTTTTCCCTTTTGTACTACATGTTTGGAATCCAGGGTATACTTGGTACTTACAACATGTTTCAATTCAGATGAGCCACTCTTCAAGTGCCCAGTGGCTGCACGTGGCTCACGTCTACCATATTGGAGAGGGCAGCTCCAGATGGTGGGACCGTGGCACCAACCTCAGGGACCCCAGTGCATAGGAGTATTTAGCATATGATAGTCTCCAGGATGAATGAATGAATGAATGAATGAGCAAGTAGGTA